CCGCCGCCGCTCTGCGCCCTGGACGTTGCGCGGCCACGTGATGCGCTGGCCCGACCGCCAGCTGGAGCGGCCGCCGCCTAGGGGCCAATCAGCGGGGGCGCTCGCGGTCGGGGGCGGGGCGCAGGTCACAGGGAGCCTGGGCGGGGCCAGAAACGCCCGGGATGCAGATCGTGGCAGCGGCTGCCCGCGCTTCGGAAGGCAACCGTCTCTCATCACCCCCAGCCACGCAGGCTGCTTCGCCCTCTGACTCCCGAACTTAGCCGACAGGATATAAGGCCCAGCTGTCAAAACTGTTAAGACCATTGAGGATCCGAACACTTTTTACTTTCTGCCTTCGCAGATTTTTCTAAAATTCAGGCTGCAATTGGACTATAACATCTCAAATGACTGAGTTAATGGTTTTTAATCCACTGAAACCCAGGGTACATGATCAAAACAGAAACCACCGCAAGGCATGAGCACACTACTAGGTCACAGCACCCAGGACATTCTGCACCCTAAGGGTCTTAGAATGCCCACCAGAGTGCACCTTTCAACCTAGTGAGCCACCCTGCCGCCATGGGGCACACAAACTGGCACCTGGTGACAGGCAGGGAATGCACGGGAAGGCACACGTGGGAAGCTCCTTCACCACGACAGACCACTGCGCTCCCACCGCCTAACCGCTTAAGCCAGCTCGAGGTGTAAGGATCCCATTATCATTTAAAGCATCAGAAAACCTGAAGGCGGGATTCCCTGCTCACCAGGAAACCTTAATTCTGTCTCCTGGGATAATCGATGGCCTCTTCATCTCCCTCAGGAAATGTTATTTGTAAATGACAAGGCATTTCAAATATTTAGGGTGGAGTTGACATAATATTCATGCTTTGTTTTTCTATGTTTTTTCCTACATTGAAGGAAATGTGACCAATTAATGTGTTCTGTTCTGATGACCCATGCATCATTTTCCCCAAATCTGCCTGCCTATACATCAGTGCTGCCCAACAGAATGTTCTGAGATGGAGGAAATGTTTTTTTTTTTAATTTTGTGATTGAGGAAATAAAAGTTTTAATCTGTGATTTCTCATACAGTAACCATGTGGCCACTAGCCCGTGAAATATGGACTGTGTGAATAAAACAAATATATTTCCTTCTAGGTATATGTAAGCTGTCACATGTGGCCACCACATCTAACACTGCAACTCAAGGTGAACCACCTAGATGTTTTCTCTTAACTTCAACAGTGAGGTCCAGGTAGAGATGTGATGACCCTGGGGAACCCACTTTCACAACGTTGCTGTAAGTGGCCTATACTGTCCCACTGCAGAAAATTTTATTTCCCAAGACTTTGAAAGATGGGGAAAAGAAGCTTCTCAAGTTAAAGCCAATGACAAACAAAAAAACCCAAAACTATTCTAAACTATTATAATATGCACAGAAATTCAGTATATACTAAAGGTAGTAAGTGGGGGAGATAGCTCAGCGGTCTAAGCACCTGCCTGGCAAGCTCAAGGACCTGAGTTCAATCCTGGTACCACATGCTGAGCCAGCCCAAAACCTGACGTGGGGGCACAGGCCTATAATGCCAGCGCTGGGGAAGCTGAGCCAGGAGGATCACTACAAGTCTGAGCTGCACAGTGAGACCCTGTATCCAATTAAAAAAACAAAAACAAAAAAAAACAAAAACAAAAAAAAAAA